GTCTTCATTTACAGCAGGAGTGACGTTAGAGCAAGGGTGCAGGCCAGCTGGTTCAATATAGACATTTTAACCCTGGAGAGTGGGGACAAGGGGGACAACACGACACAATCTCCAAACTAACTCCGAGCTACATAATTCTTTTTCCCATCACACGCAGCTCTAAAATCACGACTATTAGTCCTAAACGAACTTTCAACAATGGTACTTAACCTTTTCACAAATTGGTTCATAAAGGCTGACCTTTCATCGTCAGAGGAGATTTTGTGTGCTACCATGTCTATTCTTGAGGGTTTTACGTTCAAACAAAACTTGGTTATTTTTTCTAATACACGGGAACCCGAGGCAGACAAGGGTACATCACAAGGATTACAAATCTGACTTCTTTCAAAATCCGGTGCGCTACGAAAGGTTCCAATGAGGCTGTTCGCTGAAGATGTAGAACGAAGGCCTGAAGGTTGCGCACTTTAGCTCCGCAAAACTTTTAACAGTTCGGTTCTTTTCGACAACCAAAGGCGATGATAGCAGTCTTGTTTCATTCTATACCAAGTTTTGAAGTCCAGCGAGGAGGTGAAGTTCTCTCCGTGGACAGCAACCCACAGCTTAGTTGACACTTCATGAACGAACTTAAGTTGATCACACTTGACGATTCTTCTCTTAAAACGCCACTGAAGGTTTGCAGAAGTCAGATATCTGAAGTCAGAACCTCCACCACATCGTTTCCGTAGTGCAAGGCTGAAGTAGCTTGCGTCCCACTCCGTCCGCAGCACGATGACCAAGCTGACGTAAAACAAAGCGCATGCAACTCGAGGTCTCTCGGATTCATTAGGGGAAGAACAGAAGTAGATATTGGGACAATGTCTCCGTTAGGTAGAAGTAATGAAGTTAAAGCAAGGGTGCAGGCGAGCTGGTTGAATACAGACATTTTAACCCTGGAGAGTAGGGACAAGGAGGGCAACACGACACAGATCCCCTCCAAACCAACTCCGGGCTACATAATTCTTTTCTCGGCACCGGACGAAATTCGAAAATTAAAGACGCTTACCCACTGATATTCCTGAGAACGCGACAAGCACAGGCTGCACGTCGACAACACACACCAGTGCAGACACCGCCGAGTTGGCCGAGTCGCCGAGCGCCCGACCAACAGACACGATATTTTTTTTTTTTTGTAAAAAAAAAAAACAAAAACAAATTTAAGCTACGGGGACGTCAGGGATGTCAAAATAAAAAAGAATCCACCACATAACATTCTTTTGACGTCCGTGACGTCAGTGGCCACGCCCCCTGTGTTTCAAATCGGTGCCGAATATATGCAGCCGCAATCCGGAGACGGCCATCCCCCAGTGTATGTGGCGCTGCTGGCACTGCTCCGGAACTTCGCTGTTTTTAGCGGCTTCGGTTGCTCGTTTGATAAAATTAGTGATAAAAACGTCAATGCAACCGAAATGTTCTGCACGTTTAGACTAGAAGACAGAATTACAGGCGGCCTTCGCTGCCGCTGAAGCTCAATCAACTCAACAGCTATTTATTAAACAACGTGCGCGATGTGCTCGAAAAACGAAACCGAAAGAAGATGAGTCGGGAGGGCGAAAGCTTTCTCCCGTCTGCCTGGAGAAGGAGAAAAACGTTTCGTTCCTCCCCTTTTCTCGTGCCCGCTTGGGGGCGCGTCAGTAGAAGGGAGGAAGACGCGCCGTTGCCACTTTTTTCCTCCATTTTTTCTTAGAGCTACTTTTTTCCTCCATTTCTTGCCTCTGCAAAGTCATGAACATTCCAACCAGGATGGATGGATAGATGTTGGATAAATGTTAATGGCTCTACCCTTTGTCACGGGCGGTAGCTTGCGCCACCTAGCCTAAGTCTAAAAAGGCAAACATATTCCTCCCGCGTTTCTGAGCCAATTTTCTCCCCCTATCACCAGGCAGTTTCGTTATCATCTCATGACCCCTTTACCACACCAGTTGAAGACGCGTACTAGCACCATATACGTGGAGCTTTGTTTTATGCAGGAAGCGAATCAATTAGCTCATTAGCTGAACCCGTTGTGCTGTTGATCTCCACTGCCTGGAAAACAAGAACGCATGAGCTTGTCTCCATGTTGGTGTGCAAGGCAGATCATCATTCTGTTCCTTTGCACGATGTAAAAGGCACGGTGGCACACGATGTGTTCAAATGTGTCTCTGACATCGAAATCGGACAAGAGAGAACTCTGACCGGTAAGATTCGGAGCACCCAGTTGACGCTACATTGAATTGTATTCAGTGATGTCCAGTTTCTGTCTGACGCTTAAGCGGTATTCACACCCAGGAGATATCCCGGGATACTTCTCCCCAGAAGTCTTATTACTTGACAAAAACATAAAGGTTATTTGTGATGCGGTGCTGCGACGCTATCTCCATGTCGGGAAAAGGCGGGGCGGTATAAAGGCGGTATAAACAAACCCTCTTTGACAGCGGGTCGCTTTGCTCGTAACAATATCCTGTCGTTGAATGATTAGTGTCACGAGTCGTTAAATGATTAGTGTCCCGCAGCAGACGAGTGTTGTCTGCTGCGGTGCCGTGGGTGAAAATCCCTAAATTCAACTTCGAACGAAAGCATCTCCCCATCCAACACCTCGTCCGATCGAACAACAAAGCTGAAGCGGGTGAAGCGCTGCCTGATGACGTCACGCACATCCCTTCGCGGATTTCTCGCTCGTGCGACGAAAGGCGAGGCATGAGTCTATGCTGTACCGGTATCTGAAATAGGGAGTTTAAGGGAACCGTTCTTGCACGCCCGATACGGTACGATGGACCCTCCGGTAGGCACTGCGCATGCGCTGTTCCAGAAGTCTCGCATATGCGCGGTTCGTACCGGAGGGCAATCGTACCCAGTCAAATGTGCAAAAACGGTTCCCTAAGACTCCCTAATGAGCCAGGCGTGTACGGTACTCATGACGAATAATCAAATTACTTTTAGTTGACTGCTTTTCCGTGTAATTTCGCAGTTATATATGAATATAGTTGTCGGGAAGTAATCGCGAGAGTAATTTGATTGAGTACTTTTGGAAATACTGAAATTACTCGTAACTATTACTATATTCCATCCTTTTTCTAATGACGCCTTTTGTTTCTACAAGTTTCCCATCAAGAAATCGGTTCATTAAGGATACAAAGAGCTTATAATTCGGTGATTTTATTCCACTAATGAACACTACGAAAAACCAGTTTTCGAACCGGCAAAACGATTTGTCGTTTTTAAAATCGGAAATATTTGGAAAAGTGACAGTTCCTTTTTCAAGTAAGGGCCAATTACATTTCTTCTCAAGTAATCAAGTAACCTAAGGGAATGCTTTTTGACCAAAAGTCATTGTAATTGTAATGGACTGCTGCTTTCGAGTCACGTATACAATACTGGTAGTGACACAGCGGGTGCGTTCACTGGATATTCATTCGGGTCTTACAGACTGTTGCGACCATAAGGAGGTCTCTCCACTCACCACCTCACTAGCGTTCGCCTTGCTAAAGTGGAAATGGTGCAGGCCTTTGTGGGAGCTGCTTGTCCTAATATTCTTAACATGCCACATACTATAGTAGCCATTCACCCGGTTTAATTGGTACAGTACTCTAACTAAAATATTTAGAGACCGTACAGCAGTTCTCTCCCGGCATTTTTAATGAAACATACGGGACTTCATTTCCACTTAATCTTAGCCGCATGCACACTGGCGTAATAAAAAAAAAAAAAAAAGAATATACACTTGGAATGAACGAGCCAACAGAGCGCTGACTTTCAGCTGTAGGTTAAAAAAAAAAAAAACACAGTATCGCGAGCACACAACTTTCAGCGTGACTTACGAACTTTCCGTTGTAAATCTGCACTTGGTCTGCTCGCGTCCCCTACTCGTCTGTTCCCTCATATATCTGCAATCACTTCCATGGACTCAGTCACAGTAGTTTTCTGTACCTATAGTATATTCTTCATGTGATTATTTTTATGTTGGTTGAAAAGTATGTAATTATACTATACCGACGAAGGAATATTCAACACCAAAATGTTTCGTTAAATGCGGACGACTAGCATTCGCGGGGCGATATAAAACCTTACATTGAATAGCGAATATGGAACATCTGCTTGCGCGTCTCTCATACAACCATACTTCGATTATAAATTTGAGAAATCAGCTGACGAATCGAGCATTAAAGCCACACGACTCTTCAAAATTCGAATGTTCAGAACACGAGAGCCCGGCATTAAATTTCGGCGTCAAAAGCTTTAGAGGACCAACGAAGAATCTGGCTTCTAAGTTTCACAGATCGACTGAGTCTGCTTGTTTTCCATCACCGCCGGTATTCTCAGAAGCGAACAGGCAAATCAGACTTATTTAGACCACCCACGCTGCATTGTTACGGCCTCAGCGTCAATCTGCTTGATAGCTTGCCTCCTCAATCAAACATGACGTACTCTTCAATCTTCCACGCACCCGACGTTCCAGGAAACAACCTGCTTTCTCAAAAAAGAAATAAAAAACGACAAAAATAGCTTTCAGACGGGAGAGCAAATATGCCGCGCGCATGCTCAGACACTGCTCAAAGGACGTGACCATGATTAACATCGAAGAGAACATCATTAGTCAAAGCAGAAGGACGGGGGACAGCGGCAAAGCTTCGGGTTTCACGGGGAAACTACTTTGCCACGAAGCGGGTACCTTAAAGAGTGTTCCTGCTCTGTTAGCCCAACTGTCCGTTGTCGCACAATGACTAAGGAACTTGTGGTTAATTTATTTCGAACTTCCTGATACGCTTCGCTTCGTCAATAGCCCAGGTGTCGACACCGGGCCTGAAGGTCATGTTGTGTGCCCACATGCCGCATAATTCACGGAGACCGGTATATAAGCGGACGGTGGCCACGCGAGTGGCCACAAAGGAATCCTCCGATACGTGGAATAACCTATCGTTGTTAGTTTCATAGTTTGAGACCTTAGAGTCAGCGACCCCAACCGTCATGATGAGGCAGCTTCTGGTCGTGATTCTTCTTGGATCTTCCCTTACGATTCTGGTTGACGGCAACGGTAAGTATACGATCTTTCAATTTTGAGTTTCGGACTTGCGACTTGCTGTGCCAGTTCCCGTACTTGGGTTACATCGCCTACACTAACTTAACTTAATTTTGACTAACGAGAAATTTAGATCGTCATACGCGACAGAAAAAAGCATAAAAATAATCGAAACTGCTAAAAAAAAAAGAACTTAGAAAATGATTTTTGTTTTCAGAACTGCAGCACACGTTTCAGTACTAGGCTTGAAGAAGCTAAGAACCACAGCGAGGCATCTGCTGTCGTACTTAGACTTACCAAAAGTTCGTTTTCAACTTACCTTATCCTAACCTAACATACTCAACAATACCCAATTCTCCCGACCTTATTTAACCAGTCTCTCTCAATGACTTTTTAATCCGATGGTTTTGTACCATACGTCGCCAATTACAAGAATGCAATTCGAATATAGGGTGGAAACGAGGTGGAAGTGAAATTCAGTTTCTTGAAAGAAACACATCACCGCACAGCTAGTGTCTCGTCTTTGAAAACCACTTTCTCCCTTTCCCTTTTTTCCTTCCGTCTTAAAATATCTCATGTATGCATGTTATACAAAATTTATAATCCTAGAGCCTCACTATGAAGTAAATAATTCCTGAACATCTCACATATTTCTGCACGAGTTGATCTTAATTCTAAAGTCGGCACACCCCATTTTCAAACGTCAGCATACACCGGCTCCTTCATACCAAGAACGTCATCTGATTGGAAACGCCCTCCAGCACCTCTGGTAGACATACCATCAATTGAGCGATTTTAAGAGACCTAACTAACCATCTTTGCTAACACGCCGGTCTAATTATTCCCCAGCAAAATTGCTTACTTTGGTTGTAATCTTATCGTGTTAATGTTTTCATATGAATTTGTATGCCTTCCCCGTCATTAATGCTCGATGGGCCCTCAGGGTATTAAATAAAACATATATTAAAATAAATAAATAATCCTAGACCAATCTGTAATAGACTTTTTCTGTTTTATTAACACTTTTAAAAGATTAATCCAGTGGATAATGTTAGCGTGATTGATTGCTTTGTCTTTTTACTGGTCTTTATGCGTTTTTTCCTGTTCATATGCAAGTGTAAGACTCTTTAGGCTTAGTGCTCTTTGCACCCAGTGCAAAACAAAGATAAAGATAAGGTAATCTACTCTAACTTTTAAACTAACACCGAAATATACATGACGAAAGCAACGGTGTCGATCCCAAACAAAATGAACATGCAATAACAACAGTTTAGGTTTATTTTACGAAATGTTGGAGTGAGGAACGAACAGTCACATAAAATATTAAGGATCACTCGCATGTAACTTTAAAAAAAATGCCCTGTAAATTCTTATTTTCTAAAATAATATAAAAAATAGCCTCTGGCTCTCAATTACTAAAATAATCTGAAGAGTGGCTGAATGCCTAGCTGTACAAGAAAAAAAAAAAGTTTATTTAAAAATACTGAAATATTTGTATGGTGTCCTTGGCACCTGCAAATCTAAGCAATTTGCAGGCTTCAAACATTTTGTTTTCCTCTTTGCTGTATGGGTGAATAGTTGACTTACAGTTTGCTAGCGTCGTTTTTTGTGCTAATTTTTCGAGTTTTGCCATCTTCTGTGCCATGTTTGAGCAGATATAAAGAGAGATGTGGGTTGTTTTGTCACTTCAGGGGCATGCTGCCTGGTTTTCATTTCCTTGATTTCGTCTTTTTATGCCGAGTTTATTTATTGTTGATGTTCATTTTAATGTTTTGTTTGCTCCGGCCATGTGAGTTTCCTTCCTCTGTTGAACATCCCTTTTGTCTGTGCTGGCTGAATGGTTTTACCGGGAAGGGGGCGGGGAAGGGGTGAGAAGAAGGGGGTTGTCGGGGCTTTGTCAGGCATTTCGTTGCGTCTTGTGACGTCCCCTTAGGCAGCTGTACTACCCGTCGGCTCTCTGGATAAAACTTTCATTGAATTTGAAGTTACACGAAAAGACGGAAACCTCATAAAAAAAGAAAAACAAAAAAAAAAAAAGGATTAGAGAGGGGAGAGGGAAAATAGTAAAGGAGAAGGGAGTGGTGGTGTACAAAAAAATAGGCGAATAAAACAATAAAAGCTTAAAGCAGCAAAATAAGATACAGATAAATAAGACAAAGAGTAGAAGCATGAGTTAAAACATCTAACATATGTAGACACGACTGAATACTTAAAGAACACATGCATAGGGAAAAAAACATTTTTTAAGTGGTGGTTTTCGCGTACGCCAAGTACAAATTCGTTTTGCTCCGTAAATATATCTCTAATTTTTTTTTGTTTCGTTGTAAATTCATATTTTGACATCCTTTTCCTATCCAGGTTGTTTTTACAATATTTTTGTCTGGCTTTGCATATGTCCTTTAAAAAAGAGCAATCTAGCAAACAAAAAACAAATAAAAAATAAAGCAAAGCGATTCTTTTTTTTATTTGCTTTGCCGGTTTATTTTGTAGGGAAAGGAGATAAAGACGCGGTAAATCCCTAAAAGTTATTTTACGACCAGATTTTTTTTAGTGTAGCTACATATACTGGACACAACAAATCTACAAAACAAATCAAAGCAAAAAGAAAGCAAACAGGAAGCACATTCATTCGGTTGAAAACCCCATAAATAAACGTTACTGAATATTACACACATACAAGTCCTGAAAGTATACAACAGCGAGGATGAGGACGGGAACAGGAATATTAGTCGTGTTACAAGTATTTAAATGTAAATCAATTATAAAAATTGCACATTTCATGAAGTTACGAAAACAACAACAACAGCAACACTGGAATGTAATAAATCTCACTATCACAACTGTCGAGTGATTCCTGAAAGATATCTCAACCCAGGGACACAATTGAACTGGTGTAACACTTTAAAAAATTAGGAGTAGAATATAGTCATATAGCTACGACATGCGAACAGCAGCATATAGAGATAAAATTACAATGAAAATATTCTTCAAAATAGGCTACGTACAGTGACTATATCAGCTCTACAATATATACTACACACGTGAAAATGCAAGTTCTTTGTCAGTTAAGAACCTCCGGGTATTGTTATAAAAATAGAATATTGAAGTCACTGTTTATATCTGTTCTATTTAACGTTTGGGTCACTAGAAAAGTTAAGGATTGTCGACCAAAGTTGGCTCTTATGATCGACATCCTTGGCATCGGGCTTCAAAACCCGTATGCTCTCAAGATGTCTGTAGAGTCTTTTTTATGTATCCATTGCAAGTCTGAAATAGTCAACTTAGGCTCATTTTCTATTCTTAAAAAAAGAAGCAATACAAATTTAAATACATACCATGAACAGAATTCATAGCCAGTGGCTAGTGACGGATTCTTTCCAGCAAATACAAAACTAAAGCGATAAATCAAAGCATGCACGAGTAAGCATATTTTCAGAATATTATTTACACTAATCAAGCACATGGTTTATAAAATATGCATCGTCTAGTTCCACGATAACTAGAACATAAAACATAAGGAACATCCTAATAAATTAGGACTTCTATTTTGTAGCTTATTGCGCATTAGTAAACCGTAAAGAATTTTTTTCAATATTTTTATGAATGATGAATATTATCTATAAACTCACATCATCCTACCCCTTAGGTACAATTTATTATGTCAAACTATAAAGATCCGCTGTAAGCATTTTGCATTTGATAAAAAGTGGTGTTGCCCATAAATTTCTTAAATTGCCTTTATAAGGTACCTAATATTTTTGTCCTCAAGATAATTAGTTTCTTATACTTCGTAGTTGTCGTCGTTCTCCAGACCAAAATACCATAACTATAGTCTTAAAAAAAATAAGGAAGAATATAACGTGTGTTTGACCCAGGTAGCGGTTAAGCTTAGCATTTTAGAAACACTTCCTCTTTCTGGGGATAAATCAGCCTTTTAGTCTTTTTATATCACAACTTTGTAAAATGTCGTCAGCAAACCACACACCCACAAATATTTGTTCTGCCACTTGCTTCGGGGGTGTACGTTCAAACGTTATAATTATAAAACCATGGTGTCAGTTCTGCTTGTATTCAAATGTACACAGTTTTTTTTTGTTGTGGTCTTCAATAATTTCAAAAGATGTGTATCATTAATATGCAATTAAATGCAAAGGTGCAAGCGTCATGTGTATCAGCCGGCTTTTCTACGTTATTTTTGTTACACAAGCAAAAACAAATTCCCATATTCTGCGTACAATATAATATTAACTGAGGGAAACTGTTATTGCCTTTCTACTATTAACACACACAAGGAATAACAGAGGCCATAAAATGAAGCCTGACGAACGTCATTTTTTTATTTTCGGTTTATTAGACGCATGCACATTCATAAATATGTGTTGATAACGACCTGCAAAATCTTTTATAATCTTATCGCAACTCTAGCATATAGTTTAGGTAAAAAAACAAAATAGAACACCGTAAGGAACAGTAGAAAACACTTTCCATAAATCCGAATATAAACATAAACCAAAACCAAGAAAAACGTCTTAAAAAAAAAAAAAAAAAAGGTCTTAATTTGTAAAGCACTTGGAGCACCTATCACCGATCTTTTAGAAATCCATTAAGCCTATGAGAAAGACGACCTGTTCGATGTTCGAATGGTTATGTGAAGGGGGGGGGGGGGGGGGATGAGGACGCCCTTTTGCGCTGGCCGCTGCACGGTTTGTAGAGCAAACTCGTGCGATATCAGAAATAATCAAATTACTCGTAAACGATTACTTCTTGGGGGAATCTTGCAATCATTCGAATGCAATTATTAGGGATTAATTACCACAGTGATCTGATCACTTCTGAAACTATGAAGATTACTTGTAACAGTTACAATATTCCCCTCCCTTTCTTAACGGCGTCCTTGGTTTCTACAAGTTTCTTACCAAAAAATCCTCGACCCAAGCCTCCGCAAGGAGGGTGGTTTCAGAAAATGAATATATTAAGAAGATGAGCGGCGTATAATTCGGTGGTTATATTCAAAAAATGGAAAGTACGAAAGACTTGTCTTCAAATCGGCAGAAAAAATCGTTATTTTTGAATATCTTAAGTAATAAGAAAAGTAACGATTACGTTTTCAAGTAACGACCGATTAGTTTTCTTCTCAATTCATCGAGTAATTTAATGCAATACCTTTTAACCGAGAGTGTTTTTAATTGTATTCGATCACATTTTTAGACTTACGTGTATGGGCCTGCTGGAGAGTGATACCCCTCAGCAGCGGCGTACGCAGGGTTTCCTATTTCCTTTCCGGGGTTGTGGTACTGATATAATAAATCTGGCCTTGACAAATATACTCACATTTTTTTTTTGTGTCAAAACTTCCGAATCATTAAGCTAACTTCCCACACTGAATTTCGATTAATAAATGGAAAAGATGTACCCTGGTATTTATAACATGGCTATCATTTTCATTTTTACAGTATACATCGTACTAATGTCTCGAATGTGTAGGCCTCGCATCATCCGCTTAGGAGCCCCTTTCGACGTCTTCCATAATCGGTAACCACAAGACCGCCACTAATACGGCACATATGCCATTCCACGAATAATGATAGTGATCAAAGTGGCCAGACTGAATTTCAAAAAGGGTCTATTCCACCAGACTTTATCGTACACTAAAATTAGCAGGAAAAAAAAAAAAAAGAACCAGGAGAAATTACGCGTTTGTATTTTCATTACCTACTTTACGATGTCTGACAGCCTAACAAACGCAGGGCATGGCGAGGGACATCGTAATATCGGTTCAAAGCCTGCTGAATAGGCCGATAAGAACGCCGAAAAACGAATCACTGATCGGGGTAAAAGGTGTGAACGTATATTAAAGCACGCCCGGCGTCGTTTCCTGAACTGTCGGAGTCTATAGGATGTAGTCAAATTAGCCCAATCAATTTCAGAACAGGCACGTAGCCAGGGGGGTGGGGCATGGGGCCCAGGCGCCCCCCCCCCCCCCCCCCCCCCGAAATCTTCCACGTTGCTGGGGCCTCCTCGCCCCCTCCCCCTCATACAACATTTTGTCATGGGCGGGCGCCCCCCGAAACAAAATCCTGGCTACGTGCCTGCTTCAGACACATGTGCACAGTGCTCAACTATACACGAGGGGACAGTGAAACGAAACGGACCATTGCAGCGGAGCGCTAGTGCCACCCTTCTCGTTGCAATAGTGAGTTTTAGAATTTAGTACGCGAGCAAACTCAAGCACTGCTCGCTTGCGTTAGCGTTGCGTGTTATACACTGCGCCTGGGCGGTGCCCAAACTGCGGCGGCCGAGCGCGCTCCTTCCTGGCGTGCGGGCCGGAGCGCCAGGAAGAGGGCTTCTCTGCGGGGTGGCGTTCCTTGGAACTATGCGCGTCCTCGCAGTCAATGGCTGTATATACTCCGTGCTCCTAGTTGTAACTTATGTGCAGTGCAGGGGAAGGCGACGCCAGGCGAAGAGAGAAAGGGCGAGCACTAGGAACTCGGGGTGGGAGAGGAGGGCGATCTAGGGAAAAAGAGCACATGAAACGCTAGAGAGGAAAGAAGGTTTCTCCCTTCCACCCCAGCCCTCCTAGTGCTTTTCCTTTGTCCCCTCGCCTCGCGTTGCCTTCGCCTGTACTGCACGCAACTATAGTGACACAGGGTATTAGCCCCGAGAGCGAACACAAGCGTCGCTGCGGTCGCCGCGTCCTGATTGGGTGAGGTGTACTGTGACGTCAGGGGTATGACTCCGCTCCACGATCTCGCTTCGGCTCGCTTGCCAGCACCGGTTTCCCGGTTTGACGTCGTGTGCCGCCAGCTCTTCGAGGAGCTGGACTTCGTTTACCCGGAGTACAAGACGTGGACTTAGGCCGATATTGACGTGCTTCCGTACATTTTATAAGCCTGCTCGTCCCTTTTACATTTAAAATTGGGTTACAAATCCCGAAAGCTAACGGCGGAGGCAATTCCGCCGATGAACCTCCCCGTCCGTCCATACGACACAAGGCAATTTTGCGATGGATCGTTGAAGCGGTGGCGCAAGTGTTTCAGACGCTGGAATTCTGTTCCTTGCATGTTCGTGATTTAGGACGATATTACATCCCGCTTTCAAGGCATTTGAAGTGGCATTTATATCATGGGCCTTTGGATGGTCGGCAAATTAGCTCGCGACCCGACTTTGCGCTGCCACTGTGTATGCGCTGGTTCGCAGATGTTTTAAAGGCTCTGTGTCTGATTATCTTTGAAGTGCTCGTGGAACAGGGTTGTTTTACATAAATTTAGCTTCTTTGTGAATTAATTATATAGTTTATACACGCATGCCGGCATATTTCTTAGAAGATGCACAATTACTGGAAATTAGTTTGTATGGTAGCAGCAAAGACGGCCGAATTGCCCCTAGTTGCCTGTATGATATGTATTGAACTGCTCAAAATATGCACAGCATTAGTGCTGTAATTTGGAATGTTTATACTTTTTCATCGTTTAGTCTGAATTGTCATTTCCAATTAAAAGAGACACTTCTGCAGGTCTCCAAAAGCTTCCTCAGCCTCCAAACTCCCTACAGCTGGACTCTCTGACAACAGAGGAAAACAGGGGTAAAAGCAAGCATTCGAACGTCTGTCCAGTGGTAGATGCAGCACTAGTAGCAGAAAATGTGGATTCTGTGAAGGGCGACACTCTGCGTGAAAAAAGCTGCGGGTATTTTAGCTTCAGGACAATTCGATTTAAGTAAAATCTCAATTTTAGGGCTTAAGGGACTAATAACGAGCTAGACATCTTTGCTTACGTTTGTTATAGATTACTTGAGGGTTGATATAAACAAATCCACAGATACCACCCGTGTAGTTCATTGAAATACTATCCGAATCCAGCAAAGGTCAAATGCGAGCAATGTTTACAATAAATGTTCCTTGTTTTTTTTTTTACTTTGCCCCTGCACTTGGGCTGTCTTACTCGGGATTCTCTCCCCATGGCCCAGACTGTATTTAGCATGTTGCTCGAGCAGCATGCAGCTTTCCTGCTTCGGCGATCTTGTTTAAAAACAGAGATACAAAAAAGAATAGTATACATAACCCGCCAATTCATTCAGACCAGCAGCAGCAGCGTTTATTGTGCGAGATGTAAATCTGTAGTGATGCTCCTGCAATTGTGGCCGTATTTCTTTATTTTCATTAACCAGCTCCGCTTCATGCGTTGCCTGCCCTGTCAACCATGCTCAAAATGTTGGTTGAAGTTTCGCCTGTAGCTACAGACCATACCTGAATAAAGGCACATATAAAAATTTACACTTCCTACAAAAAACACGCAAAAAAAATTTAAATAGAAAGGAGCGCGCCGACAGCTAGCGTCGTCACAGCCTCCGCAGGGCGAGCGGGGCGAGTCGGGGAAAAATTCTCTCCTCGCCGTGACGTCACCTCGGTTTGCCGTAAGGGGGCGCCACGCGAACTTCTCGGGGCTAATAGGAGCCGTGCTTACAGCGGTTACAGACGCCGCCGGCTCCTCACGAATTGTTCGTGGTTACAGACGCCGCCGGCTCCGCTCCATGGGACAGTTAATGTTTTAGCATAAAAAAGTCTGGACCAGTGCACCCTATATGAGTTACGATATGCCCGTCGCTTTCTCTCCAAGAGTTGTCCAGGCCCGATGCTTCACGCAACGTTACTAAAACGCTCAGTTGGGAAACTCCCATAAAGACAGCTTTGAAAAAGTGGCCCCAATCTGTCTCACGAGCATCGAGCTAATGACGAACACAACGCCACCATTTCTCCCGCAGCGGCCACTCGAGGAACTGCACGTTACTGCTATTTCGGCTTTAAGAACAGATGCAGCGGAAGAGGTTACAGGGGTGCCACCCCCGTCTCGGCGGCGGACGCGCCCCGTCGGAGTACCCAAGTTAAAATGCACCTAGGTCAGGACGCGCTACCTGAAAGGACCGCTGAGGCATGGTTGTATAAAAACAATATTAATTGTGCCGCAAAACCCTGCAAACTAAAGACTTTAAAAACATAACGCGCCCCTCTTTTTGTACGAAACTCCAATAAATTTCATACAAAAAGAGTCTTTTTCGTTTGTTTTTACGCAAAAACAGGTTTTCAAAAAGCTCAAGGTGACCACAGTACAGACAAACGATAAAGAGTGGCGCTGTTGTCGCATTTAGCTCGGTCTCGGTGGACGCCAGCAGCCCAGGTTTCGACGGCGAGTTTCCCAACTGAGTGTTTTAGTAACGTTGGCTTCACGTCACAACATGCACGAACGGCTAGGTTGCGCCGTCAAGCGGCTGTTTTTTTACTATTTATTTTTCTACCATGTATCATTTAGATTAGGATCGAAGATATATCGTATATATATATATACTTTTTTAACAACATCTGGACCGTTTTTCTGGATGTGACCAACCCGATTCAAAAGAGTTTCGGTTATATAAAATACCGAAACTACGAAACAAGCACGGCCAGGCGCCGCTTGTGCAGCACGAACGTGGAGAACGCTTGGCCGTCTGCTTCGGCGGTGTGGGGCCTTTGGTGGTCACCGTTATTCGAGCGCTCAGAAATGGTTAGCGCCGACTCGTTTGTTAATGAATGATAAAGAAAGAATAAGAAAAAAAAATATTCCGCTGAATACCGCGGGCTAGTCCCGAGCTCAAAGTCTCGTTCACAAGTTACGTCGACCCCGTTGCGCTGCGTTGCGTCCTGCGCAGGGAAACGCAACGCAGCGCCTAGGCGTTTGTGCTGAACGCCTAGAAGGCTCCACCGCGCATCAGCTACGTGTACTGTTTGCCCTCTTCCTTCCACTTGCCACTGCTCGGAGCCGACAGTCATTGTGTAACTGTGTAGGAGGCGCTGTCTGGACCCTTAATAAGAACATCCTGTATAACAGATGCGTGCCTGAAACCTCACCGGTTACAAGCCAGGCATCGAACGCGAAAGTGCGCAGCGTTCGCGTCGAAATGCTATCGAATTTAATACATAGTTGAATGAATAACTGAGTAACGTTTTTTTGGTGGTGGTGTCTTGGCGTGCTGCGACCAGTGGACACCATTCTGGAGACGGTGAGGAACCTGATCCGCCAGATGGTCCCGAACCCGGAGATGCAGCAGCAGTTCCTGGCCAAAGTGGACGAGGCCAAGGAGTGCCTCGACATGGCCAAGGGAATAAACCCCGACGTTGTGAAGAAGGTAAATACGTTCAGCGACCGTGTATAAGCAAATGCTTCTCTATACTTCGTTTCACCCTCCTGGCAAAACGCGAAGGCTACGGTCCCGGTGAGCCACTCAGAGCGTCAGAGGGAGACACTGCTCCATGTCACTAGTTTGCGCAGTTCAGTCGAAGTTACAGGCGGGAGAGAGAGAAATGCCATTTTTCTACGAGTTTTGAGCGACAGGCTGAGCTTCTAGGGGTAAAATAGCGACGTCTGCGACGCACAAAAGAAAGTTCGGGCTAAGAGGGGAGTTCCTCCTTTCCCTCCTCTTCAACTGCTTGGGTTACGCCCTCATCCCTACACCTTTGATAAGAGCTGTCTCATGCTTTGCCTCGCTCTGATTGACTCTATGGGCAGTAGCATTTTCTTTTTGCCAAGTTTATTCATTTATTTGTACATAGTGCGACCTCATTCGAGCTCATTGCAGGAGGGGGTTACAACTGCTCATCGTAACATAGAACAAAATAACATAAACAACAACGCATCATAGAAAATAACAATTCACCGATTAAGACACACAAAGATGCACAATCGTTGAAATTAAGTCATACTCTGCAGGCATGCGCGTCGGGCCGTCGACGATGTTCGACAGCTCAACCGTACGTTAGTTACGGTGAAATTCCGCATATAGGAAGCGATGGGAAAACCCTTCATCCGAAAGAAGGCATGGGCACTTTTCACGCTGTCGCTCTTTCGCGCTGCACTAGGGAGAGGGCTGCCGCCGGCACACCGAGATACCGAAAGCCCAGGCGGCTGTCTCCGCTGCCTCGACGGGCATCCACGGCGATAGTCGGCGGTAGCCAACAATCCCCTATCAAAGGGGAATACTCCGAGGGTGCGCGCGTCCAGTCGATCTAACTGCGCAAAAGCTGTCGGCGTCAAGGCCTTTAGATTTTCGCGGAGTAAGAGGCGTTTCTTTGTAAAGTGTCTGGTATAAACCCGTTACGGGTCGGGCGAGGGTACTGAGAACGCCAGAGAATGTTTTAAGAAGGTTAAACATAAGGTGTGGAATTTGGTATTCTGCTGGCAAAAATAATATTGGCAGCTATAGGAACTATAGTCACTTGGGATCATCCCATAGTCATACATGCCCGTTCGTGTTTGCGTTGTCATCCCCTCTTTGATGACACAAAAATCCTGGGGGGGGGGGGGCATGACAGCAGGTTCGGCAGGGAAATCATAGAATCATTCGCCATGACCACAGCAAAAAACAACGTGTCAAACCCTTCCGTCCTGCTGACGAAAACTGAGGTTGAATTTTTAAAATCCGAGATAACCCTACCACCCTGACTTGCACTTCGCGTTTCTTATCTTTCCTTCTCTCCCCCTTCTCTCCCCTACTCCTACTGGGTATAGTCGGCTGCTCGCTTTTGAAAGTTTACTCGTCTGTTGCTAGTTGAAAGATGTGGTTGTGTTGTCGCTGTTTTAATTGTTTTATTCTTTCTTCATCCATGACTTAAACCAACACCGCTCTTCTCCCAAGCATAATAAACTACACCCGCGTTTTTTAATTCTTTGCTGCCCAGCGTTTTCGAGGAGCAAAAACTCAACTAGGATTTATTTTTTCCCGGGCCACGTGCGCTTCAATAAATTTAGCGCCCCATGTCGCATGGGCGAGGATATTTGCATTAGCAGTGGACGATCAAAATGCATCCCCAAAACATATCATTCGTCCTTCAAAACCGAAAGTCAGAACCAATTACGACAAGAAACAATTTGACAATCAAGTTTCCTCATTGTTAAATAAAATTGAAGGCGAGGTAAACTTTCAGTGTTTCTTTCTTATTTTCAAGAGAAATAGTAAAAAACTCCTGATTGCGAGAGATATAATTTATAAATGAAGATGCAAATGTGAAAAAGCAATTTAGGCGTAACTAATATTATTTTTAATCGCGTTTAACCTCGCACGAGTGTTTTTTTTTTCTAAAATTAATTCGCTTGGTTCTGCATCTGCATTTGCACATGTCCTGTTTAGTGCTGTACTTTAAGGGTGAACCACTGGCCTCAAGACTGCGAGAAGAAAGATCGGCGCCAATATTAAAATTCGGTTATACTTTTCTCTACTGTGCAAAATTCAAAATGCGTCTGGGTCTTCTCACATGTCGGAACTGCTTTCATTCGTTCAACGTGAAGTATGGATGGATGGTAATGGCTGTACCTCTTGTAACGGGCGGCAGCTTGCTCCACCTAGCCTAACAATTCGTCATTCCTTCTTTTTTAAAATTTGTATAAGTTTTGTTCTCACACAGCCCTCCACCCCCCCCCCCCCCCTTTTAAGGTGTTTCCATTGCTTATTTTACCTGCACTTTTACCCCTCCCTAGATCTTTTCCACCAATCTTCCAATCTCCTCTTAGTTCTTAACTAGTTAGTTAGATAGTTAGTTAGATAGGTAATTCTTCCCCTATCCATTCGTCCATCTATGTCTGCGAATCCCAGTGCCCCCTCCAAATCCGCAGTCACCCCCCGAAGAGGGTGGGACGAAGCCCCGAGCACCTTAAAATCCCATGTTCTATAGTTTTTCTTTCGCGTTTGCATATGTCTAGAGTGTCTATTTCCAGGAATTCAGCCCTATAAGTTTTCGTTCTTAGCGCCCCCTTTCTAGCTTCAAGCAGCAATGAGCTCCCCAATGAATTGTCATACAACTGTTCCTTCTTTATTTCTTGATTTTGTGCCCTGTATATTGTTAAAGCTGATTTCCACTGCATTCTCCCTTCCCACAATTTCCTCTCTGATTTTTTTACTCCCTTTTCACCTGATATGCTCTGTTCGGCTCCATCTGAATGAATGTATTTAAATCTCAGCTTGCGGGTTCGCTTTGTCCAATTAGTGTTTAGACTTTTCATATATAGATACTTGTACACTTTCGCTGCCCACCGTGTATCCTCAATTTCAGCTAGTCTTTGTTCAAATTTTACTTTACTGTTCGCTTCTCTACTCTCGAAAGATGCCCAACCCATATCCTCCTGTACTCCCTCATTTGGTGTATTCCCATGTGCACGCAATGCCAATCTACCTACACTCATTTGCTGTATCTCTAAGCCTGCCTGGATTTCTGGCCTGATACGCAATTACGCATTCCGAAATGACACTCCCGGCACCATGACTCCATTCCATACACCCCTAACGACTTCATATCTATTATAGTTCCAGAGCGCTGTGTGTTTCATAAAAGCTGAATCTCGCTTCCCTTTCTTTATTGCAATATCTTCATGTTCTTTCAGATACTTTCCTCACTCACTTAACCATACTCCCAGATATTTGTACTTTTCGACGTCTTCTATCACTGTGTCCTGTATCTCCAGGAGTTCCCACGTCTCGTCGCTGAAAATTTTTATTCCCGTCTTGTCCCTACTGAAGTTTAGGCCTAAACTGTCCCTTTCTCTGCTGCAAATCTTAACCAGTTCCTGTATTGTCTCACTACTTTCTAAGCATTCGCGGCCCAGTAGTGCCGCGAATGCCCAATGTTGCCCACGAGCAACGTTTCGAAAATATGCTTATATATAAAAAAAAAAGTAATTTGTTTTTTCGAGAACAGATTTCTGTTATTGTGTGTATTCTAAAACCATACCAGGGTTTGTAGGTCTCTAGTATTCCAAGTAAAGCTTTGGGAATGAAAGGGTTAAGCTGCCAGTAACATTTCAATACTCACCCTTTGGGCGCTTCTACTGCGGGTTCTGCGCAAGGTACCGGGAAAGGTATCTTGCGCATTCTGAGCAAGCGCAATACCTTTCGTCTGCCGAATATCGAACGCCTCGCATGGGTTCGCAGCCAAATGACTCAGTATCTTTTACCTGGGCGATGAGCGTTTGTAAAGATGCATATGCGCCAGTACTCTGAAGTGCGCGCGATTCTCTTTCAGCTCGTGGACGGTATCATTCCCACCGCTGCCAGCTGCGCAGCCCAGACTGTGGGTGTCTCCGACATGGACAAAAGGAAGGAACTCGTGAGTGCCTCTAGCATTACACATGATGGACAAGAGTATTAGAATAGCGGGCCCCAAACGCTTTGGGTGCCCCAAACTTATCCAAAGCGTTGGGGCCCCTTATTTTAGAGCTCCCTAATAATTTACACCGACAATCGACGATTGTTCCGGTACACGCATTTGCGTTTGACCATGCACTCTAAAAAAATGTCTGTCCGTAAGACAATTATAAGAGGTTTTTCGGCTTGTCTATATTTTCCACCCTAAAACCTTCTTTTAAGCAACCCCTAAAACTGTTTTTTTTTTGTAAACAACCTATAAGGGGTTTTTCTAAGCTCCTTTTTTGATGCGAAATAGTTCTTCATCGCCCAGTTGCCTTTCTAGTGGGCCGAAGGGCGATAGTGAGTGAGGCGAAACCGTTCTTCACGAGCTGAAAGAGTTCTTAGGGTGTCGAACCTTTCAAGTACGGATATATATATATATATATATATATTAGAGTGTACGACTGACTGTTTTACATTCGCTTGTGACAGTTTACGACGAGACAACATAAGGGCGCCGTCTATAGGGTAGATCAGGAACATTTCACATCGGTGTATATTAGCGAGGTTTAGAATAGGGGGTTTCAAAGCTTTGAATGCTGCAACCAACTTGGGTGTCCCGCCGTGCCGCCGCAGAAATTCTGCGCATGTGCAGTGTGGTGCCCCCAGCTGTTTGAGGGACCCGAAAGCGTGGGGGCCCCCTACTCTAAAGCACCCTAGTAACGAGTTTTAGAGTAGCGTACCAAAAAACTTCGCGTACGAAAAAAATAAATAAAAAAGGAGCTTTGTCGTTGTGCGGTTATTTAAAGACGCGGTTTGGGTTCGGGGTATGCGAAGTGGCGACGACACTATTTCTTTGCGTGCACGGAGCTTCTGGGTACGCTATTCTTGAAATTCCTATTTTACGCGCCATTCTTTCATCGTGAGTGTGAAATAAATCTGGAAATGTTACAAGGAACCGTTTCTCAGAAATAGCACAAAAGTTTGACCTCGCAATTGCCGGAAAAACCTTCAGTCTAGTTCTACTAGTATGCAAATATAAAGGGTTCTAAGTCCATACCTGCGCCAACGTGTGTGTCCTCTTGGTGTATAGTGTCGCATACGGTCGTATTGCCATATTGTCACGGGTGGTGACTAATAAACAAGAAATAAACAGGAATAAATAAACGTTTAATGTGGCGAACTTGTGCCAAAAATAAAGAAGGAGACAGAAGAAAGCAGAGCGTCGCGGGCGTCGAAGTCGGCGTGTCAGCAGAATCGAGCGCTAGGGCGAGACTGACTCGACAATCCCGCGAGCGGCGTCTTATCTAGAGTGAGTCACTATCTCGAAGATTCGGCGGAGAAGGTTCGAGCGTAGCGCGCTCGGGGCGAGAATGAACACGCACTTTCTAGAACAACATAAGCAGGGATAAACGACAGAAGTTATGTACGGAGCAAGAATAAACAAGAAAGTTCTAGAAGTCCGTGACCCTGCGCGCGGCAATATATCGCACTCAAACGCAATTGTGTGCACCAACCTTAAGTTGTCATCGCGAGTAAAAACAAAATATAGCATCGTTAAAGAAACATAAAAAAACGTGCTTTTTATTTTATTTTGGGCTGCGACCAAATGAGATGTAAAGGAATTTAGGATCAGCTTTGCATCTCTTCGGGTATCCGTCGATCTCGGCGCCCTCGCACTTAGCGAGGTACCACCTTCGTGACAATTGTTTCCTAAATTGAATTGATGCATAACAATACAAGAATTCAAGTTTCCGTGCTGTATTTAACGGGATACAATAAACGGGAAAACGTTTCCCGCTGACCTTAGCGGGGAAAACTAATTTGGCGTTCTCTGACGATTTCCCGCCACATTCAACTGCAGTCTTAAAAAAGCCCGTGCGTCTACTTTCCTGCACAACCCTCGGAGAGCCAATCACCGTAGCTTACGGACGCCGCTCAGCGAATGACGATGCCGAAACATATGTTTAGACCAAAGAACGTAGTCTGAGTTGTGACATTAAGCAATGCAAAACGTCACGCTTGCATTGCTTTATGACAAACCCAGACTGCGTTTTTGGTCTAAACATATGTTTCGGCATCGTCATTCGCTCAGCTGCCTCTATTCGCGACTCCAGCAAAACGGACGCCGCCAAGCGGGAAAACCGGGAACCAGCCGGTCCAGGTCGCTCCGCGCCCCTCCGCGTCTCTGATGGCTTTCGCGGAGACGTGTTGTCGGCGCGGTGGCGAACGATGTAATTTGACGAAGGTCCGAATATTTCTTGAGTTTGCCTGAATGTTCGTTAGCGTGGTAAAGCCTCAGTAGATTGTTTTCTTCTATTACGTGTTTGAAAGCCCGTTTACTCCACAGCACACGGTCGCGTGCTTTCGATTTCTTGGATGGGGAGGAATCACGGGAAAACGTTCTGATTTCTTGTCTGTCTCGAATCACATTCAAAGTGACGACTGCTTGGTAACTGATACTGGAGGAAACACCAATTCTGCAGTCAAATGAATGGGAAGGTTCGATAGCTGTTTTTCTTGAGTTTGGTTGCGTTCGGTTGGCTTCAAGTTTTAGCCACCTACGCCGGTCTGTGGGTTGGCTATTCATCTTGGCTGCTTTTCGCCGAAAAAGCCTCTGGACCACACTGAAGGAGTTGGGCTGATTTCGCAATTACTTGATTTGGGAAAACCTGCTCGCTGCATACGATTAATCAGGGAAATTATCCGTTTTCAAAAGGTGGGGGACGAGTTTCGCGACGTTAGAAGCTGTCATGGCATTTTGATCTATTGCGCCTCCCAATATTTAGATTATACCCCCGTCAAAACCAACAACAATATCCGTTTACAATGCTCAGGTTGATCGGCCACAAAAAATACTCATTTTCTCCGTTCAGGATTCGAAGCAAAGTTCAATGCAGAGAGGTTCTGCGTGAATTTCCGATGAAGACTCTCTTCACTTTGTCTTCGTGCTGCCGGCTAGAACTATATGGCTGAGTTTAGGTAGTATCTCTCTGTCTGTCAACTATACCTTTATCCAGCAGTTCACCTTATAGCTAGTCGACTAAGCTCATATTTCAACCCGAAGAATATACTAATATCGCTTTAGTGGGACATAGTACGTAATAACCCGCTCGTCAAAATGACTTCTTGATTGCTACTAAAACCTGAATTGAAATACGAGTATCAGCTGCTTAGTGGGGCGCCGGCGAGTTAACATGGTCCTTGGCTCAAGAAGCGGTTGCTTAATTTTCGTAATTTTCCTGCAGCCTGTGTTGTTGGCCGAGCAGACTGGAGCTGTTTTGTAAACGCGGATACGCACAAAAGCTCGATTTCGCGGACAGATAAGTCGCAATGGTCGAGGCATGCGAGTTAGCTGTAAAGTTACTCTCTGTGGAACAATTCTATAGTCATCGCCGCTTTCCTTAGATGATCAAAACTGATTAGTATATTACCGTCTCTCCGGAGCCCATAGTTTCGGTTTTGAACGAAATCTCCGAAACGAAAGTTCGACAAGAAAAGAACAAAAAAACACCGGCAAAACAAAACTATGCTTTGCAAGTTTATCTGCACCGGCTACATTTAACCGTCTCAGTTCCAATACCTATAAAATTGGGCATTAAACAAAAGAAAATCTGTTAAATTGAACGCGCCACCTGTTCAGGCGGCCTGGCCGAGCCGCCGCGACCTGGACTCAGCCGCCATGTTTGTTTGGTGGGGGCGCCCCCTATAGGTCGCTGGAGTCGCGAATAAGTTGCGATGATTGGCTCTCCAAGTGTTGTGAGGAAAAACAGACACACGGGCCTTTTTTAGTGTTTGTAAAGCCGGAATGAATGGACGCACATAATTTCATGGCCATAAACATTCCATCGCATTTAAAAATTACAACGAGAAACAATACATTAGGTAAACTTAAATCGGGTGAAGCGGAAAATATTTTTTTTTGGTTTTCTGTGGTTGAAGATCAGAAAAAAACGTAGACAATGCGAACTTTTTGAGATATTCATGTCGTCTCCGCTTTTTGTATTAGAATTTTCCACCCAATACGCAAGGTTAGTGTTAATTGTTTAAACCTTTTTTTTCTTTCCTGCGTTCATCAGTCTTAGGATGCGGTAAATAGTACTATTATTATTAGAGTAATTTAATAGTGAGTTTACCGAAGATGTATTCTGCTTAAAAGTTTGCTTGATCTAAACAAAGTACTGTAGCGACGCGTCATACGTTTAGAAACAAGTCTACAATTAGGTATAATTGCCCATCTTAAAAAGAGCGCGCCATACCTAGCAGCTGCTAGGGTAATTATGAGAGTCCGCCATTGTTTGGACACGTATTCTGAGCATATATTGGACACGAGGGTTGCGTCAGCGCTCGGCGGAGACTCGGGTCCAACCCACACGCTTCGTGCTCTAGAAATGGCAACGGCCAATGTTGCTCGATCAACTTTCAAAAACGGTCTCTTGACGTTAGCTTCCACTGGCGGTGCGTATTTCAAGTTCCGGGAACGGAGTATAGCCGCAGTCAACATTATTTGTTCATACTTCGTCTCATCGTACGATGGACTAAAAATCAAAGCCACGGGCGGTCAGGTCCAATCACGTTCCACGCTAAGCCAGGACACGCTTAACGTTGACTAGCGGCGGACGAATAATGCTCCGAATAAAAAAGCGCCGCATCATTTCTATAGGTACGAGACAGCAAAGACCCTGTCTGTCCTGGCTTTCTTTGCAATGTAAAATCAATGAATCAATTCCGTGCTATTCGATTCGAAGCACTGTACGCCCATCCCCATCTGTGATCCGAGACGCGTGCACCGATACGTGCGCGTAAGCGAAATACCACGCAATTTCAAAGTGGCTCGTGATTGGATCTCGCGGTTCGTAGCTTTTGCCTTTAGTCCATCGCAGGGTGAGACGAAGTATAGCATACTGGATGAGCTCAATTACGGGACCGCTAAAAAACGCTGCTTGCACGAGCAGTACCCCCCCCCCCCCCCCCCCCTTCCTGCCGCCATGCTTCACCTCCCGTCGTTCGAAGCGGCTGACGGCTGTATGCTAACTACCGTGTGTCCTATGAAATACGTACGTTTCCAAGCACAACGTCTTGATGACGTTGCACCGTCCTATATAAAGCACCCAGTTTTGAAACGAAAATCTAGACGGCGCTTCGAACGACGGAAGGCGGACCGAAGTGACCGAGGCGGGGAACTACCCTCTGCGGGAGTTCCACAAATGAGTAACGTTGGCCGCAGCTACGCGCTATCCTTCTGAGAGAACGAAAGCAACTACTAAAAGAATAATACATCAACCGAAAAAAAAAATCGCGTCTTAATATTATTTTATGTTTGACCTTTTGATGCACTACAACGAATGCGACGAGCCAGCTTCGTCAATACAGTGCTCTATTCGTGTCGCGTGACTCAATCGCTCCTCCCAATTGAGAGGCCACGTGACAGGCTCCAAGCGTACGCTAGGGTATATCGTGAGGGGAAACGAAACAGAGACAGTATAGCGATCATGCAGGCTAAAACCCACAGTCTCACTGCTTATACATCATACAAAAGGCACGGTCTTCTCTTTAGACATGATGGCATAACTATCTGCACGTGCTTCAAGTGCATGCTCATAGCATGTTTGCTCTGTACATGCTTCAGAAATGCCTGCAGACAGTTTTTCGTGACCAATGCGAAAAATCGTCGTACAAGGAAGAAACACGGCTTGGACCGTAGAGAGTTTTAGTATACCGTTTTCGCCCATCCGATAAGGTAAGATTTGCCCTCCGGTACGCACTGCGCATATGTAAGTCTTTTTTGGTTGCGCATGCGCAGTTCGTACCGGAGGATCATCGTACCGTATCGGATGCGCAGAAACGATTTTCTAAAACTCTCTGGTGTCCGCGAACTGACATTTGTGTTATGTATTGGAAGTATGTCCGGGGTTTCGGGAATAAAACGGGAAACATTAGAAAAAAAGGAATACAAAAACACTCTGAACGAACGGCGTAACGAAAATAGTTCACTATCCGTATAATTTGAGTTGAGTTTATTGAGTTGGTTTCACTAGGCTCTTTGGAGCCTAGTGAAACCAACTCAATAAACGCCCACTTCTTTGTGCGCGCAGCCCAATGCACAGTAAAAAAAAAAAAAAAAAAAAATATTTTTTTTTAACTATGTGAATTTTTGTTGGCAGCGTGCGGTGTCATTACGTGTGACTTAAGGAGTTTAAACGTACAAAAAATAAGGTGGTTGGTCTGTGGCATAATTTGAAGTTGCGCGGAATGTGAGACGAAATGTTTTGATGCTTGTTTCGTCTACATTGATTTGTTTGTCAACAATTTGGCGAGAAGAGTTTCCCCGTTAAATTTAGCGGTGAAAGGCCCCCTCCCCTTTGAATTCGTAATTTTTGGCAGAAAATTTTGAGTTCAATTTCTCCGCTAAATTTGCCACGACGTAATTACGTGTTAACCCTTTGACATTAGACTTTCGGGGCAAAGTTTTATTTTATAAAACCTTAGCTCCGAACGCATTCTGTATAAAGAGAACCTGGCTGGTGACCAAACTAATATCCATAAAACCGTATATGCACGAACAATCGCCTTGAAAAGGTGACAAACAGCCTGCGTTTGTCTGTACCATTTTCTATGTAATCCAGGTACTCAGGTTTCTATAATTTATTTATTTTCGAAGGCAGCTACTCCGTTTAACACGAAGTCTGACCGCAGCCGTCGCCCAGGATCCAATACAGCCAGTCGAGCCGCGCCAAAAGTGCCTCGCCATTGCACTCATCGTCTTTGTGCGCTTGCTAGGACCAGCTAGACCAATTACGTACAAAAAAAATGAACACGATCATGGTAAATTCGCTCTGCGTGATTGTCTCAGCCGGGGATACCAAACGCACAAAGACGGCCAAGGCCGTTTGAGTGGCTCTATATCGCATCTCAGCGTCGGCTGCAGTTTTTGGACGAGAAGGTTTGCGACGTTCTTGTTTTGTTTTTCGTCAATATTTATTTTGTACGTGAGCATACTTTCCTACGACCCACCGACACTACAGCGGACAAACTAACGCGACTGAATGTTGTTTCAGATGAAAGCTTGCTTCAAGGAAAAAGCAGAGGATTTCAAGGTAACGTTGCCTATCTTTTTTTTTTTTTTTTGCTAATTTCTATGAATGCCGACGTTGCTTTGAGACCTACGTGAATGCGCTATGGATAAGTGAACTTGCACGAGGAAACCAATTCTGCAAAGACGCCGATATAAGCATCGGTGAATTAGTGCTCGTTCGCGAGCTTTTGCTGACAAGCGCCGATGTCAGGGACCGTTACGGTCCTGCAGATTATCTAATGCTAGTTTAGGAAGGAGAGGGAAAGCTATCGGAAGAATGAACTTGGTTCGTGTTACGAGGGTCGTTTGAGGTTTAATTGAAATATCCGAAGATCTGTAGCGTGGAGGAAGTCAAAGTGATCCTTCTTAAATATGCAACGCTCGGAACGACGTATTTGAAGCATGCGCAGCAATTCCAGTTATCATAGTGTGGGCGATTTGTGTGTGTAGCCGTGTGTAGCGAATCGTAACGAAATGTCGGGTGAAGGCGAAGGTTAAACCAGCCTAAATTTTGAAAAAAAAATTCCAAGCACAGTATGAGGAACAAACGATGTTACGAACAAAAGTGCACGAGTGGTGTGAACAGTTTTGCGAAGGACTACAGCCGTTGACAAGGGAGCAACAAGGACATGGTCATCCAGCTGCAGTCACTCAATCAAGTTATTTCAAATCCAAATGAATTAAGTAACTGTCGAAACGATGGCAGGAATGCCTGGAGACCCCACGGGGATACATTGAGTTTGAAAAGTTGATATAGTTTAAGACTTGTCGGATTGTTGAGTTTTTCCCGTAGGAATAAAAGTCCCGGTCAGCCTCGAATGACCCTCGCATGAGGACCGCAATAGTCACTCATAGGACGACAAAGGCGGAACGTTTTTCAGTTGTTCCGCCTCCAGCGCAAGCTTCCTGTTCACCAACACAGTAATCGCCTTCTGCTTGCTGACGTCTTTGTTTGCTGAGCTGTGAAACGCGTTTAGATCATTCGCTGTAGGTGGGCTCTTCGAAATACCAGATGCCGCGCGTGCGTCCGTCCACAGCCCACTGGCTGGGCACCTTTTTCCCTAGTGGTAAACTCTACAAAGCTGCAAAGTCACTAAGAACCTAAGAAAGGGGAAAAAAAAAAAGCAGGGTGAGGGAGCTCCCCGAGCATCTTACTATGGCTCACCAGGATATGAGATCGCCCCATATAGAGCGCCGACAAAGAAATCGCGAAGCAATAAGCTTAAAAAAAGCCATTCTCTGCGTCTTGTGAGGCTTGAGCGTGCAAATGCAGCCAAAGCACGACGGAGGCAACAAGCATGCGCTGGAGGCTAGGCACCCGCAAAAGATGCCCTGCGATTTTCGTTCCAAAACTGCAAAAAACTGTATGTTTTCGATACTATAATGAGAGTCGGCGTGACGTTAGAATGCGGAGAGCAAGTCGTCTACTTCTTGTGCAGGAGTTACGGTGACGTCAGAAGGGTGCCGAGCTCTGATTGGCTTTGATTGAAAGGATAGTGTTATAAACCTCAATGCTAGATACCTTGAGCTTAGCACACTATTTTTGTCAATCAGCCAACAAGAGCTTGGCGTCCTGACATTATCGTAACCCCCCTGCAACAAGCAGACGAACTTGCGTTCTCCATTAGAATAGTTTGGTCTAACGAGTTTTTTTTATTACCTATAGAAGTCAAGCGGCATGACCGATGAGGAACTCGCCAAGTTTGAGATGGCTGGGGTAAGTTACGCTCTGTTTGTCTCTCTGCTGAAACTATGAGGCATGGAACGTGCCTCCAGCTGGTGCATCTACCGCCCTGTAAAAGGTGGTCCCTCGGTTATCTATCTCATGACGTCATAGAAGTGTCATGTCACCGGCTGCGATCCTGACGTTGTCAAATCAGCGATAGTGGAAGTGGCAGGCACTTGTTCTTTTGCAGGTTGCTCTCCAGTTTGACAGTACACTGAAACGTCGGCAACCATGAGTTGGGACGCTGCCACGACAGCAAAACACGCGTCGGCTCGTACTTTTTTTCCGGGACCCCTGTCATCAACCGCCAGGATCGCGACAACCGACTGCATGACACTCCGGCTTGTGTGACGTCATTTGTTGCCACCACGGGAACACTTTTGATGTATGGGCGGGATAGACCGCTAAACACTCCATTCGAAGACTCGTTTCAGGCAGCGTAGCTGAGGCACTGAACGTAATAATAATAGTTTCTTCATTTTCGAACAAAATCAGCGTTGGTAGAGGCAAGGAGATAAGCTGTCGGATACAACTGGATTTTCCCCAAGCCCCAAGGATATAACTGCAGTAGAGGATGCATAAAGTGTCGTGGTATACATTTACAAGTAACCATAAAAGCACATCGGCGAACTTTACTTATAGAAACATATACACTGCATACGCATATCGAATGAAGGGCAACGCAAGTTCGACATAACAAGTGACTGAAATTAGAAGTTTTGGACATATATATTTTATTCCGTAAGATGCTTACCGTTATATTATCGATTTCAGTGTTTCCTGCGCTTCGCCCTCTTCATAATTGTTAGAAAATTATATGATACTGCATAATGATAATAAATTGTTCTAACAAATGGTATTTACCGAGGTTCCATACTTGGTTAGATTCTTTTGTTTAGCTAGTTGGCAGACACTCGTGATGTGTTTGCTTGAACTTACACAAACAGAATCTTGAACTTCCATACTTCTTGTGGATAATAACTCAAACTTTAGGCATATTCTTGTGCAGTATGCATAAGAACTTATAAAATGGAGATGGTTTTCTATCTCCCTGGTCGTCTAAAATCCGTAACTGCACTTTCTGCGGTTGTGGCAATGCGCCTTGGCTGCATGCGGCAAGCTTAGAGTCACGTTAATTAATGTATATATATATATGAACGAATATGTGCAGATGAATGAACCGTACTTAATCCAATGAATTAAAGAATCCAAGTTTTCAGGAACCCGCCGAAAGCCAAAAAATGGCGAGCCAGGATTTGAACTCTGGGCCTCCCAATGTCCGGTCGGGTGTGCTAACCACTACACCACTCCACCATTAATTCATCTGCACATATTCGTTCATATCCTCCTCGGAGACCACGTACGATGACGTGAAGTGCCCGTGTTGTATATATATATATATATATATATATATATATATATATTTAATATGGCAGGTTCATCTTTTTCTTGTGGTGCGATTGTATCTAATTTATTATTATTGTTGTTTCACTTCTTTTACAGAAATGTTTGGAGGAGAAGGTTCAAGCTTAAACATTGACGGCTTGGTTTCTGCCAAATGCTGTGAAATCTTGTAGAAGCAAGCGTTGGCAACAATAAAGCAGCAATAAATATTTAAGACGACTTCACGATCTCTAATGCCAGAGTTTATGTTTCCCATGGAAGCAGACGAGGGAACCATGTACCTTCGAGTATATATCCTATTATGGTGCAAGGTTTCTTTTTTGTCAGCCTAAAAAATCAAACCTCGAGATAATTTGGGTTTCTGTTTGTATAAATTATAACAAGTATGTTTTGGGTGTCTGCTATCGCCCTCCCACAAAGAGCGCCAATTTTGTTGCCGAGCTTCACGATGTCGTTAACGCGGTCCATGTACGCTTCCCAAATGTTCCTGTAATACTCTTGGGAGACTTCAATTACCCAAACATTGTATGGACAAGCGACAGCCCTTTCCTTAACCCATTTTCTACAGAGAGTAATGATTTTTTAAACTTCTGTACCGATTTTAGCTTTTCGCAGACAGTAGTGCAGCCTACACGGGTTACTAATTCTACAGCCACTATATTAGATCTAGTGTTAACCACGTCAAGTGAACTTATTTCCCCTCTCACTTATTTACCCGGTCTTAGTGATCATTCTTTGTTGCTATTCTCCTTAAATATCCCAAAGTGTAAATCGTCGAAAAGTGTTAAACGCATATTTGACTATGCTCATGCTGATTTTACAGCCATCAACAACGATATGGGTTCGTTTTTGGCGGAATATCTGTGCAACTTTTCCGAGCGTTCCGTCGAGGCTAATTGGTGTTTATTTAAAGACAAAGTGAATTCCCTTACGAACATGTACATTCCTGTGCGAACTATTCGTTCTTCCACTCGATCCCCATGGTTCAATGGAGCGCTCAGAAGGCTTTCAAACAAAAAGAAACGGTTGTTTCGCTCTGCGAAGTTATCCGCTTCATCAATTGCTGATGTACGCTGGGCGGCATATCGCTCCGTCGCTGCTTTATATAAAACTACCGTCAGTGAAGCCAAACAGCATTTCTTCGGAAGTACTTTGCCAGCAATGTTGCTCAACAATCCTCGTCAGTTTTGGAATGTTGTGAACCCCTGTGAAAAACCTGGTGTAAGGCTTACCAACTCGGACGGGGAAGAGATACCAGAGAGGGAGTGTGCATCCGCGCTAAATGAAATGTTCGTCGACTCCTTTTCCAGCCCCAACGTTCTTGACTACCCTGATTTGCTCCCATCAAACTTTTGCACTATGGATTCCATTACTATAGAGTGTGGTGGCATTGTCAAAATTATTGATGGCCTTAAACTATCCTCATCATCTGGCACTGACAATATAAACTCAAAATTTTTAAAAAACACTAAAATGTACTCTTCTGTTATTCTAACTAAGTTTTTCCAGCAATCTCTCAATCTTGGTACTCTTCCCGAGGACTGGAAGGTGGGGAAGGTGATTCCGGTCCATAAAAGTGGCGATAAATCTAGCCTGAGTAATTATCGTCCGATTTCATTAACGAGCATCCCCTGCAAACTTCTGGAACACATAATTTATTCTCATCTTGTTGCTTTCCTTAATTCTAAGTCTTTTTTCACCCCGGCTCAACATGGATTTAGGAAACTATTTTCGTGCGAATCTCAATTGTTAACACTTACTCACAATCTTCATGTCGCTCTTGATCGTTCTTCCGCGGTAGATTGTGTATTTTTAGACTTCTCAAAAGCATTCGACAAAGTTTCACACCGGCTTCTTCTTCATAAACTCACTGTCCTTAACATAGAACCCCATATTCTTGCTTGGATTGAGTCTTTTTTAACTAACCGCTCACAATTTGTTCATGTTAATGGCTGCAACTCAGATCATTCACCAGTAAGTTCAGGCGTTCCCCAAGGTTCCGTACTAGGTCCTCTTTTATTTCTTATTTATATTAATGATTTACCTACTCATGTTTCTTCATCCATTGGCTTATTTGCAGATGACTGTGTCATCTACAGGGAAATAACCAATGATTCTGATATTCATTCTCTTCAGTCAGACCTTGACAGCATTTCCCGGTGGTGTGACTCATGGAATATGAAACTTAACATTAACAAATGCAAATCCATGAGAGTATCACATCAAATGAACACATGCCATTCTTACAATATTAGCGGCGTTGTCCTTGATTCTGTCTTATCATATAAATATCTCGGTGTGCATATAACAAATAACCTCTCCTGGGATACTCACATTCAATACGTAATCAACAATGCAAACCGCATGTTAGGCTATCTTAAAAGAAACTTCTCTCTTGCTTCCACCTCTTTAAAACTACTTCTTTACAAGTCTTTGGTTCGAAGTAAACTTGAATACGCCGCAGCTATATGGGACCCTGGTATAACACTTGCGTCATCACTTGAAGCCATTCAAAACCGTTCTGCTCGATTCATACTGCATAACTATCACCGTACATCCAGCGTATCAGCAATGAAATTCAATCTCTGCTTACCTGATCTCTCTCTTCGCAGGAAAGTGTCACGCTTGTGCTTATTTCACAAGATCCATTATCTTAACACGTCAATGCGCCAGCTTTTGTTAATACAACCGTCTTATATCTCATCGCGCGTCGACCATCGATATAAAGTTGGCATTGCTCACTGTCACACATCACGTTTTTTTCAGTCTTTTTTGCCCAAAACGTCACTGGACTGGAATCGCCTTCCCGCAGCTGTAGTCGAGATTGCCGAGAGCTCTGATTTTCGAATTGCTGTCTACAATTATTTTTTGCATCCTCTATAACTCCCTTGTTAAGTGAATTTGTTTGTGTATATATTGTTTCAAATTATATTTTTGTCCTGTTTAACTCACTAGTTAGGTATATTTCTTTTGTTTGTATATTGTTGCTATGCCCACCCCCCTTCTGTAATGCCTTCGGGCCCTGAAGGGTATCAATAAATAAATAAATAAATAAATAATACGGACATTAGTGAAGAGCTAGGAGCACGAGCGGGCAGCTGAAGTATGGCTGGTCTCATCACATGAACCAGACCTTCAGTCATGGCAGGTTTAAAAGCAAAACGTTTAAAATCATAGCATTCATTAGCTTCGGGCTAGGTTAAGCTTTTTGAGGCACATTTGGGTGGGAAAAAGGGGTTGAAGGGGTGCAGCTCGCACGCCAGGCGTGGGACTACACCGCCAACCTCGTTTGTACTAACTGCGCGTAACAAAGATTAAAAAAAAAAAATATCAGCGCCCTCGAAAGCTCTACTGCATGCAACACCATCCTTGATGGTGCTGACTACGTAGAAGGAAGGACTAAAGCCATGGAGTAGGAAGCTTCTGGAAGCGGCATGACACCACCAAAGGAGAAGCCAGAAGTGTGGAGGGACACGCTTCCAACGATGACCAAAACCAAGAGACGCTATTGGACGAAAAGGAGAAGTGATTTGGTGCCAACAGCTCTTTTGGTCAACCTTGAGAGTGTTCCCACCGACCGCGCGTTCTACTTCAGGATTGTCTTGTTTGGCTGGCTTGAGCCGGTATGTCGCCTTCCCTTATGTCTACCTCCGTGGCTGAAGCACGAATAAAAACAACAACAAAAAACATAAAAAAATCAGACAAACATCGGAACATGGGAAAATCATTTCACGCTATTTTCGAGAAAGTAGTGTTTGGGTTGCACGCAAACTACATATATAGGTTTGTTAAAAGTATATTCCCAATTTTTGCACCGCAAATTTCCCAATGTTTTTGTAAAGGAAAAAAAAATTACTCTCACTGTGAAAGTTGCAACGGTTTTTTGGTCAAAATGTCAAACGAGAAAAAAATCACATGGGGTAAAAATGTCTAATAGGCCACGTGACACCCGTGTCAAAATGTTCATCGAGACAAAAATGTCCAATTGGGTCCAAATGTCCCTTGAGTCAAAATGTCCATCCAGGCGAAATGTTCAATCATGTCAAAATGTCCATCAAGTCAAATTGTCTATTGAGACGAAATGTCCAATCGGGTCCAAATGTCCAACAAAACAAGATTTCCAACGAGACAAAATGTCCCACCACGTAAAAATGGCGACGTCAAAGTGCTCAATCCTGTTTGAATGACCACCCACCCCCTCTGTAGTCCCTTCAGCCTCCCCGTTTAAAACAAAAAGGCGCTAAATTTTTTCGTTTTCTTTTTTTGTCGGCCAACGTCAGTAGAGGCACAATTTTCTTCCAACGATTAATTTTCACTCCACAGTCAGGTACAGTAGGTCCGATCGGCCGGTGACCCCGTTTAACAGAAAATGAAAAAGACCCCGTTTAACAGTACGACAAGATTCGACTGGTTTGCGCACGGTCTGGCACGTTTGTTGAGGTTCACAATTACATCGACCGAGTTACCAGCATTGGTGCGCTCCAAGACTCACATTGAGCTTACCAATGGCGCTTAAAAAGCCGTCACTATTTTTGCATGCGTTAAGGGGTACTCCACCGATTTTTTGAGCTACCTCAACTAACTGTATTTTCTGACTCCCCGGCCTTAACTCTCTCCGCTATGCTATTTAGAATCGCGAAATTCATAACAGGTATTGTGAAATCGGCAAATGAAAATGATGCAAAAACCAACATTCAAATATACGCGCACTTTTCAGTGCCGTGACGTCAGTGGCAGGCAGGCTTGCCAGTCGAGCAAGCAACCAAAAAATAGAATATGCCAATCATTTGTTCCGTGCTGGAGCGCGGGTACTGCAGCGAGCTTCCCAAGCATTCATTTGACACCATGAAACTGCTTCGAATCAGTTTAAAACGAAATCTACAGCCCAAAGAGTGAACTCCTGCCTTCGACTGACGTCACTTTCTCATTGTTGCCAGTAGAAACTTCGAGCTTGAAAAACACGGTGACGACCAAAACTGTAAATTCAATAACTTCGCGAAAAAACAATATTTTGACCTAATATTTGGGACACTATTTTCGCGATGTTTGTTGGTTAGTTTAGCAAAATTTCAAGCAAATCGGAGACAATGAAAAAACCTGTGGAGTACCCCTTTAAATAAAGAGATTTGTATTGAACCATATGTCATTTTCAGTCCGTTCCATGCTGCATACACGCAGTACGGTGTGCTGTTCGCGTTAAAAACACTTA